TTCACAACATTGTTCGATTAACGTTGTTTAATGAACCAATCATTTAATGAATAGAAAATTGATTCTCTATTTTATTGGTCTGTTGTCTAATTAGATAACCAATAGTAAGAAAGCAGTCGTTTGTCAAGTGGCCGATTCACTCAATTAAATTGTTTTCTTCCGTTCTTCCCAAATTATAAAAAAAATGAAAGTATTTATTCCATACATTCTGTTTAGTTAAATAAAAAACTCTAGGTAAAGGTCTAACATCAAATGTAATGATTAAAAGACGAATAGAAGTGAATTTGTCTGTAGGCAAATATGTTTTGGTTTCAGTGCTACTTTTTTGTCAGTCTTCTGCGTAATTATTTAGTTATAATTAAGAAAATAGGCTGGCATATCTCTTTCTACTAATGATCATTATAGACACTATATTTATTAGGGTTAGTAAAATGTTAGTAATCGAGATATATCTTTCTTCTCAGTGTAAGTATATATAAGACTACAACCACACAATGATCTGAGTTATGTTACAGAACACAGCTTGTTATTTTATTCCTTTGAGATTCGAGTATTATTATTATTTCCTTTAATTCCTAGAGGAACATAGGACTTCAGCCGTGCGTCTCCATTGCGTTCCGTTCTCTGCTAGAGTTTTCACCTGGCTCCAAATCTGCCCACATGCTTTCATCTCCTCTTCACATGACCTCCTCCAAGTCACCCTTGCACTGACGACCAACTCGCCTCCTCCCTTTCGGGTTCCACTAGAGCAACGGCTTGTTTAGTGATGTCACTTGATGGTTTCCTCAGAGTATGGCCAATCCATCTCCATTTCTTCCTGCCTATTTGTTGCACAATCGGTTCCTGGTTGGTTTGCCCCCACAGTTCCCTACTGCTGATTTTTTCTGGCCGGACATCTGATCATGATTAGTGAGTGAAGACATAAGAACATACGGTTTCAAGCTTGGGATTTGAAGTTTCATTAGCAAAGGTGTTTATTTTTCTGCGTTGTAGGGGACCCAACTCCGAAATGCCTGCGTTTTTGGCGCACACCTCACCACAGAAAATGTTTTGTTCAGTACAACCTTCAACGACTTGACTGAATTTAACCACTGTTTACCTATGTTTAAATGCTAACCAGATGAAAATAAGTAATGCTTTTAGTTTCCTTGCTTCAACTTTGGAGTTAGGTTTACTATCATTACTGTTATAGCTTAATCGTTTGTGTGAACTAAAGACTAATTTTGTAACGACGGAAGACAAGGGCCAGGTAACAGATCGTTTACTGAGGAAATCAACACATATTTATATATGTTTTCATGTACATTATTATAGATTATTGTAAGCAAACAAACACAGTCTTCTGATTGGTGGTTTCTCGCTGAACGTTGATCTTTCATCTCTTTGTGGCTGTTTCTTGAAGTTCAGATTATCTATCTGCAAATTGTATCCGTTTACGCAAAGTCTGCTGTGATTGAAGGTTGAAACAGTCTTTGTTCTTTTATTTTTCTCACGACTAATATTGGGGACGTAAACATTGACGTGAATTACTATCTACTAATTTGGCTAGCAGCCAGCTCTCACCTCACTATAATTAACCAGTTCATTTCAAAGTGATCTTTCTGAAGACTTGGGAAATAAAAGTTTGTCTGCCACGAAATTCGTTGAGTTCAAAAGACTTAATCCTGAAGCTATGTAATGATTCATATTTTAATATGCTTTCAGTGATCTACAAAACAAGATAAAAAGCAGTTCAGATTCTGTTAAGCAACAAACCTTCATCAACAGCTGTCTTCACTCAAACCTCAAGAACAGATAGCCAGAAAAGATCAGCAACAGGGATCTCTGGAAACAAACCAACTAGAGACCAATTGTGCAACAAATAAGCAGGAAGATATCGAGGTGGATTGGCCATACTTTGAGAAAACCATCAAGTGACATCACACGACAGGCTATCGCTCGAGTGGAACCCAGCCGATTGGAAAGCGGCGAAATGGTCGTAAGTGCGAGGTTGACATGGAGGAGGTCATGTGAAGAGGAGATGAAAGCATATGGGCAGACGTGGAGATAAGTGAAAACGTTGGCGGAGAACTGAACGCAATTGAGACGCGCGGCTGAAGCTCTATGTTCCTCTAGGAACTAAAGGGGATAATAATAATACTTCTAAATTGCAGTTCATTCGGTTATGGCGTAAATAATTCTAATTCACTGCAGTAAATATAGTAGAAAATTAGGCTTGAGGTAAACAGAGATCTTTTTCTGATATCTTCATTCATAATACTAACTGGAAACTTCTTAAGATAAACGTATCTTATTGACTATTGTATTTATCAAGAAGAGAGAGAAATTACTTTGTGACATTTTATAGTTTTCGCCTATGGTAATGTTTGTGACAAATTTATTTCAATTTTCATAAAAATTTCATCTGCCTCTGGTTTATAAATGAATTATTTAGCCATAGTTTGCTGACTTACTGAGTGAATTAAACTAAAATGATTTAATTTACTCAACATCATATGATCCCTACAAGTTCATATAAATACGTCATATATGTTGATTAGAGTCGGTAAAGTTATTGTAACATAAGAATTCAAGTAAATATAGAATGACAGAAACTGATTCGGTAAATAGTCTATGAAAACCTCGCCTACTGTTATGTTTGCATTAGCACCCAATTGGTTGGACAGGGTAAGTCTCAAAGTGTAGTGTAATTAGTGGAAAATCAGATGTGCTAATGCATTAACACTTAGCATATGTAATAGAAATGACGTAACACACCAATTCCCAACAAATCTACAGAGTACTAGAGTAAAGAGCAGAGCTGTATAGAGTAGGTACAAAAGCGACGTGACTACCGTGCTATGTACATGAACAATAAACCAAGCTTGAAATGTTATCAGGTCAATCATATGGTACCAGTTAGTACTAAGTCAAACATATAACTATGCTCTAGTAGCATTCAAGTTCTGCTGTTATGATAATCCAAATTACAGTCATAATTCCCAGTATGAATAAAGGGGTTAGTCACAGAATTTTATTTTGCACATCATCATTGCACTTGGTTCTCTGTCATCACCTCAAACTGGATCAACTACTGATCACAATCTTATATTTCTCTCACACGTGATCTCGTCCATTTCAGACTCCAACTCCTGACTAAAACGTAACTTCTCATTCAGTTTCCAGCCAAGGATCTGCTGTGTAATATCACTTGAATATCTCCTCATCGTATGCTCAATGCATCTCCATTTCTTGCTGCATATTTGCTGGGCCAGCCATAGGCTGATGTCTAGTTTGCCGCCTGTCAAGGTTTTTTGTTACTTATCCTTTCTCGCTAGCCATCTGATATTCATTATGGAGCAAAGAAAGGAGTTACTGAATGTCAATCACACAATAGTTATACAGTCAGCCAAATGATCGCTAATATTTCAATTAGTAGTTATTTTCCGTGATTATTTTATAATGTACTGTAATAGTTACTCAAATAAATACTTGTTTTGTAAAACCTGATATTTTTATCACATTTATTTTCATTTAATATCGTTTAGCATCTGCTTTTATAGAAAGATAATATGGAGAATTTAATTGAATTTTAGATTTTCCCGTCGATTGATTGGACCGAAGTGCTCAGTCTCAGGTTGACACATCAACTTCTTGTGCAGATGCCTCGACGATGTCTGGGCATTTAATCAGCCACACAAGAGGTGCCTCCCGTGGCATAAGTGGTCTAGTGGATAACGCTTTGGCGTTTGAAACTGTGGGCACTTGGTTCGAGCCTCAGTGGGAACATAATCACCCACTGTGGAATGCAGCTGCATCCGGTTGACGAGTCCCACATAGGACGAAATGAGCATCCTGGATTCCACTACTAGTCACCCTCCGTCTATTAAATTTGGAGAATTTTTGAAAGAAATGATTTATATTCTTTATAGACAGTAACTCTTCAAAATCCTTTTTTATCTGACAGCTAACGGCATCGTGTTGGTGAGTTCATAGCACTAAAAAATTTAGGATTACACTGAGACAGATTTGAAAACGTGTTCACATGTTTTAACAGGTAATGATAACACACTGATAACATAAAGAAAATCTCATACTGACATATTTTTAATCAGTGTTAGATTACAGTTAATTGGCTTTTCAGTAAGTGCCACCTCAAATAGCATTTAATGCAAAAGGTTGATTTTCAAGAGTTGATTTGTAAGGATTAGATTTGTTTTTCGAGTTTGACGACGAATTGATATCACATAGAGAACCATTAGAAATCAGGGAGTACTGGAAACCTGTTTCGTCCTAGTTTGGGACTCATCTTCGGTACGCATCCACTGAGGTTCGAACTCAGGATCTTCCAGTTACAAGGCAAGCTCGTATACCAATCAGCCACTGGCAAATGATTCGATTGCCCATGAATTCTAAATTAAAAAACAAATCTATTCCTTACAAATGAACGCTTGAAAATTAATCTGATGCTCGATAGTGACTTGCTACATGACGGAGTTTCCTGGAGTCCTAGTTATAAGTCGAGACCAGTGAGATCCATCCAGTCGAGAGTGAGGATGGATTTCCCACCGATGACTTTGATTGGTGGTAGAGCAAAAATCACAAATTGGTAGAAGTTAGGATTCATGCACTGACCAATGAATCGGGTTCTAGTGGTTGAATGGTATACGAGCAAAAGGTTGAGACATGATGCCTAAATGTTTCATCCGAAACTGAAATGTCTTCTCAAAAGTGTCTATAATTATGAGGTATTTGCTAGGCTAAAGGTAATGACTATTTCTGTCAACCATTTGATATTTAAACAAACTCTACTACTGTTATTGATCAAAAACAAGTTACACCATAGGCTACTGAGTAGGCTGCTACTGTTTGAAGACTTTTCACTTCATCAAGTCACTTTTGCATTGATGGACTATCAGACTGAGAAAAGCCTCATTATTTGTATACGATTAAAACAATTAGAGAATAATGGGAAAAAAAATCATTAGTTAAGTATGTTTATGAGCTTCACAATTTGTTTCATGTTTAAAGTGTATCTAGCATGCCAAGGTGAGGGAAAATAAATCCAGTGAAAGTCATTAAATGTGAATTTACCTGTGGGGTGTTTCACGTGACTTTAAAAAAAAGTTAAAATTGTATATTGTGGAAGAGTTTCCCTTTGGGACAAAATGGCTGACTGTGTAGAATTTTCCTTTTTGTAGGACTTTGTCACGTATACTAGTTTGAATGCAATCAACGCGTGGCTCAGTGGTCTAGGGGTATGATACTCGCTTCGGGTGCGAGTGGTCCCGGGTTCGACTCCCGGCTGAGCCCCTACTTTTTCTAACCCTACCTAGTTCATTAGCTGATTCTAAGCCAGGATAATAATTATAACTTGCTTTATTCCAAAGTGGTTCTTATAGTGCTGTATGGAATTCTCAGCATTTGTATTTGCACTACTGTATCTATAATTTTTTCTAATGTTCATATAACAGTTGGAAACTAATCACTGAGCATTTATAATGTAAATATCTATGCGGCAGTTATTTTTTTACTCCAGAGTAGAATTTAACTAACGATAGAATTATCATTATGTTATCAGAGAAATGTCATTAATTGCCATGATACATTTTACGTATTGTTACTTATCATTCATTCCTAACATTCCGAGTGGAACGTAGGACTTTAGCGCCGCTTATCTTTTGCACTCAGTTCTCTACCACCATTTCTCAGTAGCTGCAATACCGTCTACAAGATTTCGTTTCTTCTTCATAAGTTTTCTTCATGCAAATCTTAGAATTGCACCCAACCCGCTGTTTTCCACTCGGATTTCTTTCGAGGACCTGGTGTGTAGTGCCACATAAATGTGTTCCCAGTTTATGTTCCACTCATCTCTGTTTTCTTCGGCATGTTTGTTAGGCCAGCTCTGGGTTGTTGGCTGGTTCGCTACCGGTGTTTCTTGTTGATTAACCTCTTTGGCCATCGAGCGGAAGTAGCCAAAAGTTCGCAGTCTGTTGAAAATGCCTTGAGAAACACGCCAAATCTATGAACCATATAAAAGCATTGACCTGACAGAGTCAGTTTCTCGTTCTTTATGTTGAGTGCAGTAGATATTCACACTAATTTCAGAGTTATGAATGGCCTATCTTGCCTTCTATTTTCAATATTTTCTGGCTTTGACATTCTCATCTGTGTCACCTGTATTTGAAAAGGTGCTGCCCATTTAGGGTAATTAAATACTT